GTCCGATCTTCTCTTTGCGGGACCGTTATTCACGCCACCACGTGTAAACATGGACAGAGCATCCAGACTTCTACAACCAAAAATGTTGCAGTGTCAGCAAACTGACGACTGATCAGCAAGAGAACAAAAACCTTGAAATCGTTTTGTTTAACTTGGACGAATATTATTGCGCCAGTCCTTTGGCAGCCCACGGTAGCGGCAGCTAGCGACTGTTCTGCTTCCGTTGTGCTGAGTTGCTCTCAGCACCCACTCGCCCAGCGCACGCAATATCAGCATTCACTCTGGCAGCGCCTGCGTCTTCGGCCGATCAGGTTTGCATCGCTCGTGTTGGATTCCGGCCGCAGATAGAGGCTTTTCTTAGTATGGCTCAAGTTGCCGCTGTTTCGAGGTTCAGTGTAGATTTTGCAATCGCACTGGCAACTGCTCGACATAGGTATGTGTGCGTTTGGTCTGTTGCAGTATTATTGTCTCACTGTCGTGAGCACTTTGTACGGCAGTTGCAGTATGATAGCCAATCCTTGTTTTTTTTTCTTCGACGGATCTTTTTGAGAAGACGTTGAACTACATCCGTAACGACCAACGTAGGCAAGGAAAGAACCAAGACACCCGAAAGCTAGAGGCTGGTTACACCCGCGAACGACTTTTACCGACCTCCCTAACGAGACGACTCCAGAGACATCGGCAAACCCGGCCATACCCAGCACAGCAGCTCCTATCGGACACACCAGTGCAAGCTTGGCGACTGAAAAGCTAAGTTTACCCAGCCAGCAACGTATGCCAGCACCGGATCAGGCAATTCCATTGTCCGGACCAGGCGCACCAACGGCGCCGGCTGGACCCCCTGAGCTAGCTGTGTTACAATGGGGGAAAAACACAACTCAAGGCAGGTTCGACTTTTAATCAAAACTCTTTGCAACTGATTTTCGACACTGATCTTCAGGCGCTCCGCAAGCGCGCCTTTTATTAGCGGCACATCAAAGCGAATTCAAAAATGCAAAATAAACAAACACGAAACCACAACAAGATTAGGCAATCAAAACACAATTATGCAATCATCAATACCAAATTACATAAGCATCTGACATCATCGGAATGATGTCATAGCAGCTCTACCGGCCTTAAAAGCCGCAGAACGCGCACTTAAGGCCCGGCCCATAACTGCCCCGGCCAACTACGTTGGACCGGCACCAGAAGGACCTCCAGTCACACTAAATTTCCACTTGGTAATAAACCGGGTTTACCAAGTGCCGAAGTTGCTGGTTATGTTGATCGGAGGAACTGGACCATTAACCGCCCTCTTCCACCCAGAATGATAACAGCCTCCTCCGCCCCTTGGCAAGAACAAGTCAGAAGAAGGGAACACATGAAAACCAGTACAAACCTGTACGTGCCAGAAATGCCACTCAAGCCTGAACCCTTGCTTCCAACATCACCTCCAACTGCATCGTCGGTGGCTCCAACGGAGGCCCGACAGAACTTTCAAGAGGTCCAGATGCGCTGGTTCTCCCAACGGAGCAATACACCGATTCTGACCAAGAGTCAAGTCCTGACCAGACAACCGCCGGATCTGAACCCGAAGAATTCGGGCCAAAGAAGAATCGTGACCGACTGGAGAAGCCAGTAAAACGGCACTAACCGAAACGTAGAATTCGTGGGGGTCTAGGGGGTGATCCCGAAATAATTCACCGGGCAAGAAACGCCTAGTTAAAAAATAACATGTAGAATCATAGGGCGTAAATTTATAGGATGTAAAACCATAGGGACCAGTTCGAGAAGCTAATTTCACTATGACCCCGTGTTTAACAATAGAACATGGAACAAGACACCGGACCAGGCGTTTGATCCGGTATGTGAATCATGCGTCATCAACAGCCAGTCCCAACAAAGGCATTTTCCGTGCTATTCTTGTTTCTTTGTTGAAGCACTGCCAATGATGGCGACAACGCCATCGCCATGGCTTGGCCGAAGTCAAACGAGGCAATCCCGCAGCGTACAGACACGTCTGCAGAACCATCCTGCAAAGCGAAGACATAAGTGTGGATAAGAAAAGACCATCCTTACCCTTCTTCAGGAGGCTCTTCTGGGGAAATCTGCGCCTACTGCGGCAGTTCAGTTATACGTCACAACCGTAGCTGTCCCTACCGGGGTAGCCCAGCCGAACGTACAGCCAAACCTGGCCCAGCACGGATTTTGGGGACCTGCACCTACAGTGCTGTCCCAACATTACGGCACACTAACAGCACGTGGCAGCTCCGCCGTCAGCCTTACTACTGCATTTCTCGCAAACTGAGGACGCAAACCGCGCCATTCACCGCCCAAATAATAGCCAACGCCGGAATCGTCACGGGTTGCCCATTACATGAGCGCCCACGGTCGTTCCACGATAGAACCGATTACGCTGTCCAGAACAGGACACAAGTCACACAAGCCCTGCGACACGACTCCCGTGGACCGCGTAATTTAGCGGATGAGTTGGAAACAACCGGGCGTGAATTGCAGGAATGCCTTGGAGGATTGTTGGCCCTAATGTCAGAAGAAGCTACGCCGCTGCGCCGCCTGGATTGAGCCAAGGGCTGATCCAGCTTAACTCCGGCGATATGTCTCACCAAGAAGTGGTTGAGACAAGCGCACTGGACAGAATGTTTCGGAGAAAACCGCGGTTACCAAGAAGTGGTACCATAATGCTGAAGCGGAAAACTTGCCCACCATTATGGGTACAATCCATCGGTTGATACCCTCGCCCATCAAACGCGGCTTACCGCCATGAAACGTCTAACTCAACGGATCTCTGAGTCTCAAACGAATTCCCCGGATTGGCTATGGCTTAGCGGCGGGAACCATGAATTTGGCCTGGCCATCCCATACCATCCGACGGTGTCCACCGGACCGAACTTGGCGCAAGGCTCAGTTCCCCGGCACGAAAGAGGTTTAGCGCCTGTAGCCGGCAGATATATTGGCCTGTTTCCAGTTGGCGAGCCCGGCAGAAAAGTGGTTTTCCTCCCATAAACTGCCGAAGTGCACCCACAATTCTGCCGACCTGAACCTATGCTTTGCCTTTGGGAACTCCAATATATCAGCCGAACCGGCGCAACTGTGAAATTTGATACTGTTGTTGCAGTCGAGCCGCCAACAGCACGGCGGGTCTGCATCATGTACACCATAGGCATACAGCCGCCTTAGCAACTATTGTACCAGCACAAAACAGAGAGAAGCGCACGCTATCCCCTGCGCCGTGTCTAAACCTTGCTGCGCCTGTGCGTGTATGCTGAGTGTGCATCATGCACAGATATCTTCGCAAAACACAGTAATTATTGAACAAATTTATTTTTCCCAAATAACCCCTCCGCTTGCAGTTACAAATTACAATTGTGGATGGTGTATATTATCCTTACACAGTCTTCATTATCCTTACACAGTCTTACTTACATAAAAATTATCACGTACGTTATTCGGCAATTGTTACTACATAAATTAATATTCTTTACGCCTGTGTTTGAAGAAACTGTAAGCGTAATAGAGAAGCTTTCAAAAAAGCATTATTTATAAAAATTAGAAACACATATATGCAACAGTCATATCGTCAGTTTAATTAGGGCACCCGAATTTAAAAAGTAGTTTAAATACAGCGACCAATACTCCCATAAATCTGCCGAACTGCACCCACATTCCTGACGACCCGACTCTATGCATTGTCTATAGGACCTCCAATATATCCGCCGAACCGTCACAACAATGAAATTTGATACCTTTGTTGAGCGCGAGCCGGCGAAAGAACGGCCGGGCTGCAGCATGAGATGGAGCGCTGTGCCCGTGCTTTTTTTATGCCATGGAAATTGCTCTTTCGAAAAATCAAAATCATGCTAATCAAGCACTGGATAAGCCCAGTACACCTTCGTAAACCAGAGAGACATTTTGTTCGGCCACCCGGTAAATTATTAAATTAAACCGAAATTGCTAAATACAGTAGATTTGTACACGTGATAAGGTGATAACGTGATACGTGATAAGTACTTCTGCGGCTTACGCCATGCACCCGGTCCAGTTTCTGTTGTTACTTTTGTTTCTTGTTATAATTTGTTGATGTTTATTCATCGTTTATTCAACTTTTTATAAAAAGTAGTCAATCGGTAAAGTTCATTTTGTGAGAAAAGTTTAGCACCTGGTGGACAAAATATTAAAACTTAAACTGAGCAAAATATGAGCCGAATCGAAAAATTTTAGTTGTACATTGTATATACTATTGTACTGATCCTATACTATTGTCTATACTTTTGATTTGACCTATTGTTTTGTATATGCTATTGTACTGATCCTGGTACACCAGCCCATCATTAAAAGTTAGCCTAATAGCTCGCTCAAGAGAATTTTTTTTCAGTGTTGGCAAGCGCTTTTGTTAGATTTCGTTTGCACATTCATAAAATTTAGTAATTTACTAATACTCGTATAACGTTAGAAGATGAATGGAGCGGTTCAGACGCACTGTTGTGTTTAGCGTGCAATTTACAGGGATACCATGGTTTACTGTTGCTATTTTTCGGCAGATCAATTGGAGCTCCCGTAAATACAGGATAATATCGCGTCGCCACAACCATTGGTACAGTTGGTGAGATCTGTTTCTGGTAATGTTGAATCCGGAAATAATAACCAGTTTTTAAACCTTTATTTCAGCACCTCTGTTGTAACTGTTGTAAATAACTGTTTTAGCACCAACTCTGTTGCAATACTGAAAATTTATTAGTACAGAGATTCTCCAAGGATAGCACATAAATCATAATAAACGCAGTCTCTAAGATTAAATATAATAAAAATTTTACAGATGAACAATAACAACTAGAAAAATCTTTTATTCGGCAACAGCCTGTACTCAATGCCAATCTGATGATAGATCAAAGTGATCTACATACGGCAACCAGAACAGAACTGATTCCGCGAAGCGAGCAATGCTACATGTATTGCGAGCAGCGAAATAACACGCGATGCCGCGTAGCTAATTGCTAACTTTTAATGAGCGAATTCTGGCTCGCCAAAACAACACTAAACAGTACAGCGCGATCGTCAAACGGAGAGCCAAATCCGTGCCACTCCGCACGTGCGCAAGCCTCGCCCACAAGGCGCAATACAATGGACGGCTATAGCAACCGTCAGCCAATCAGACCAGACCGAAACACAACACAGACACGTCATCAGCGGCGTAGCGTCGCGAGTGTGAACGCAAGTGATCCCTCGCTCGCATGCCTCTGGGGGAGGCCGAGTTCCGTTGAGGCTCAACATCCTCCAAATCCACGAAAAGACGAAGGTCGCCACTGTCTGTGTGTGTTCGACTGCTAATAAAAACATTGAATCTCTTAGTCCATTTTATCACATCAATTCCTTTATGTACAATTCCATAAACACGATGTGAATAAAGAGATCCTCTTATAAAAATACTATCAACACCGCAGAAACAAATCAACAGAAGTTTAAGCAATGTAGACTAGGATCCTCCATTGACTCTTAAAGGTCACTGGTCCTGTCCACCGTTTATGGCAGTTTGGCCCATTCCCCCCTGTTGAGCAATTCCGTGCATATATAATGCGACTTTCCATCACAAATCCGCTTTGAGAATCGGGTGCGTATCAAGTACGACTTAAGGAATACTGCTTCATCTTTAGAATATGGTGCGTATCGGCGTAAGACTTAATACTGATCCGTAAAGGTCATGGAGGGATGTCGTCGAAGACAAGCGTGATTCGCTTCCTCCCTGGTAAAGGTCATCCATTGTAGAGATGATCCGGGATGTGCGACTCAATTGGGCAATGGTTCCAAAAGGTCCTGTGACTTTAATTCCACATTTATGACTCTGTTGGGCAGTAATGGTCCCAAAGGTCATCCAGCCTTTACTTCCATCAAAGGTCATGGAGGAACTTAGTCGATTTTGACGACTTTCAAGCATTTCTTCGCTTGCCCCCCTGGTTAAACTTTCAAGTTAACCTTTACGTCGCACATCCATTCCAACTTCGCCTCGAGCGGCCAGAGTGTCGGCAAGGTTCACCGTTGCATCTCCGATTTGGCCGGCTAATTACCGTATTAAATGTACCCCAAAGTACTCCACCTGCTGTCTTTCTCTTTTTCGCCGCTTGTGGCCCACCTTCGTAACAAGAGATCCGGCTTGATTACCGTAGTTTCTCTCGTTAAAGTTTTGACACTGAATCGTTGGAGAGGAGAGCCGGCTGTATGCCGTAACAACTCCCTTGGGGCCGGCTGTGTAGACCGAATAAATTTCAACCCCAAAATACTCCACATGATTTCTTTCTCTTTTTCAGTCATTTGTGACCTTCACCATTTATAATGAGACTGAACCGACTGTTCGCCGTAGAGCTACTCCCGCAATTTGACTTTTCCTGCAATGTGAAACGCTGAAAACAACAATACACGAATACAATTTATGTTAATACGTTACGTCGTTCTTCATACAATACCATTATGTGCGTACCGACAATTGCCGTAGACGCATCTTTTTGTTAGTGAGATCATATCGACAACCTGCACTATTCTTGCATCTCATTTGAGTCGCCCTCACCATCTTTATCTCGTGGCGGGCGTTTTCTCGTAGCCGCTACCTGATTTTGGTCAGAGGTTCGGTCAACTGGTTCTGCCGATTCAACTCCCATGACCTTTTCCGCATTAACTTGTCGCTGGCCGCGACCTTTCCCCTTGTCGATTCCGCTTAATCGCTTCAAGTTGGTGCCTCGCATCGTATTCTTCCAGTTGCAATCTTCGGTTATTAGGGTCATCCGCTAAACGACGTTGTATGTCCGCGTAATTATCTCGAATATGCTGGTTCCGGATGCCACGTTTTCCAATTTGATTTGGAGCGTGTTCAGGGCGTCGGTCACTTTTGTTCACGAGGAATTCCGTTATAAAGTCGTTAACACCATCCGCCGGTTCAACGTAGTCACCACCGGTGGTGTCTTTGATTCGGTCGGTCCGCTCCTGAACTTGTGATGCAAGTCGCTGTGTGAGGTTACCCTTTTCCATTCGAATCTTCAATTTCCTCAGCATTGATTTAGCCGTGTGGGCTATCCCGACGTGTTTCATGGGCATTCCTAATTTGAAAACCTGGGCTCGTAGAGTCTGTGGTAATTCGTCTGTCATAGTGTTAGACACTAGGTCATTCTGCGACTGGTAATGTGCCAATCGCGCAGCAAAAATCTTCTGACCCGTCCTCTTCTCATTATGCGATCCAGGATCCACCTGTTATCCTATCGCTGCCCTTGCGGCAATCCCCTTAAAGGCCGGGTTCACGTGTCGTAAAACGAACTGCGCCACGTATTCCCGTCGTTCTGGGTGATCGATGTAGTAAAACTGTGTCATTCCGATAGTGTCGATTGTGTCCGGTGGCACATTCAGCAGATTCAAGTCCAGTAAACTGTTCAATCCATTCTGTCGGATGGGAGGGTAATAAGTCAGCGCCGATTTACGGAGGATACGCACTCGACTGGTTATCCCTCGTCGCAACTCCTCCGCATAACCTGAGTCCTGTAGAAACTGTCGTAAGTGATTTAAGCTGTTCAGAATCTGCGTGGCCTGAACACTCAATATCGATTCCAAGATGTCGACAAATCTCTGCCCTTTTTTCATCGATGTCATCCATATTGTAATCCATGTTGATCAACTCAGGTCTTCGGTTCCGGTCGTCGAATCTGGAAGTCTTGTTCTCCCGTCGATCATTTCCGCGTCGATTGTCCGGTTCGCGTTGACCTTCTTGTGCTCGTTGCTTTTCTTGGTCGTGTTGCGGCGGCTCTTTGCTCGCCGATGATGACGGTTGGCGGACGCTATCCAAAATAACATTCCGCCGATGAACGACATTTTCTTGTGTTGCCATTTCCATCGGTTCATCTTCTTGTGCGGCGCTCACGAATGGGTCCACTATGTGAACTGTCGAATACACCCGCTGATGTTTCGATGGTGTATCTTCCCGCTCTCTGCTTGATGACCTTTTCTTCGATTCGAATCCAGCGAAATATGCGGCTTCCTCTTGCCAACCTTTATCATATGGAGTTGGACTTCCCCTCCGCGTGTCCTTGCGTCTGCTGTCACGTGACCTTTTGGGTGTGTCCATTCTGACGTTACGGTTGCAGAACGCGACTCCCATCGGCACCTGATGACCTTGTTTTTCAGGCTCTGTCCGGAGCACTTCTTCTCTTCTTTTTTCTTCGCGTTTTCGTGTCGCCGACAGGATCTTCGCCGTGTTGATCTTCTTTGAATACCAGTTTCGGTGATTTCGTTGCCATGACGTACCCAGCCTCGTCCGCCACGGTAATGCCGATCATTAGAACGTTCGCGTGACCGTTCCTTACGGTAATCCCGTGTCCTTTCACGATAATGTTCATGTGACCTTTCATTTCTTCGGTCGTAGGTCCGTTCATGTTCACGTGAATGTCCGCGTGACCTTTCTCTCATCGGGGGCGATTGAGGGCGCGCAAATCCATGTTCCCGTTTGAAGCTTTGAAACGCCTTCATCACTTCCTGTTGTGTTTGGCGAGTCTTTCGGGCCTCTTCCGTCATTTTCTGTGTTAACATCTTTGTTGACGGTGTCGGTGCTTCATCTCGTTGAAGTCTCATCTTTTCCCGTAGGAACACATTGAGAACATCTGCCCGAATAGCCATCGGGTCCTTCGTCAACGCATCGATTTGTAAGATGAGGGAATCTACTCTGACTTTCGCCTCATCATCATTCAGCTTCGACAACGGGATTGGCTCTTTTCCTTGTTTAGCCAAGAATGCTTGATTTTCACGCGCCGCATGTTCGCTCGACCGTTTATTTTCTTCGTTGATTCGCGCGCGAATTTCATCCTCCATTTGTTTCAGCCGCATTTTCTCTTTATCTTCATTAAACTTTTTGCGGCACGCATCCGTCTCTGGACATTTCAGTGGTTCCATAGTCTCATCCCAACCACTTTCCTTGTTCTGTCTGGATCGCTTCTCGGTAAAGATCCTCGAGTAACATCCTCTCTTCAACTGGGATGCTGCCGTAATTCCTCGCGCTGATGAGGTTCCGAAATACATCCATATTGCCACGTCTAGCTTCCGTGAGTCCAACGAGGTGAACGGTGTGTTGATCCCCCAACTTGTAAACACACTTGTAGCACGGGAATTTCTTATCAACTTTCTTGTTATTCCGTCGACAGTCCGGACACTTAGGATTGTAGCCCGTAGACTGATCGACGTCCATTGGAAGTGCTGCCTGACTTCGTCGGTTGGCTTGACCTTTCTGTGCCATTGTCCCGCTTGAATCTGCAATTCAAAAACAGTTCCATCATAGTGACTTTTCCACAATGACCTTTCGTCCTTATCCTTTATTTAGGCATTCCTATCATTTTTATGCCTATTTAGATTACTCCCGTACTGAGCTGAGACTTTTCTATCTGCTCCTGTTGACCTTTCTATTACTGTAACGTGGTGACCTTACTCACGTTATCAGTACTTAGCTCGCTCGCCCGTCCTAACTGCTGTGACCTTTCTTATACAGCTCTTTTTCTGCAAATCTTTGAGTGACCTTTTCGGCTCTCGTATTTTCACGTGACCCCTTTTTTTGTCTAATTACGTTATGCTTTTTCCTGTAATATACAGCGGTGCTTTACTCGCTGCAGATTACACCGTTCCATTTCACTATTTAGGCTTCTCCGACGACTCCAATGGATCATGTTCCTTGAAGTCAATCCGACCATACCAGGTGAGTTCAAGTGCGTCGTCGTCTTCTATTAAACTTTTGACCGCTTTCTGGATCCATTCTCGGTCTTTTTCTATATTGAGCTCGCCCAATTCATATTGGACCGCCGTATAATTCGAAAGGTCATCCCATGAAGCCCCTTTCGTTCCGCCGATACCGTGTATCGCCGCGTCTGTAATGGCTATCTTCCATGACATGAGGTCCATTTTCAATCTCGGTGTTCGATCCGATGGCGCTAGATAATATGAAAACCCATTGAAGTCGGTGTATCGGATCCCAAGTTTTCCTTTCTTATAAGCCCTTTTGATAATGCGATCTAACTGGTTTTTCGACGTCTTCCCTTTCATATTTGTGAAGACCATGTCCTTCAGCTCGCCGAAGAGCATACAACGTTACGGTTGCGTTTCCAAGACTTGTATAATTTCTTTCCACGATGGGTTCGTATCATTCAACGGTAGCCCAAGCATATAATCAGGTAAGTCGACTGGTTTCTCTGTAGTTATCGGTTTCTGGGGGGATGCCGAGTCCGTGGGCTCCGTCTTATCGTCAATCGTCAGTTTCGCCAAAGATCCCGATGATGACTGAGCTGATTTCGGTTCCTCAGATTTCTCTTTCAGTTGCGAAGTCTCCTGACCTTTCGTTTTCCCCGATGCGAGTGCATCTTTCAACGGTGTAAACAATGATTTCTGAAACACCTGTCGTGCTGAGGCAGTTCTTGCGTCTACTGCTGCTTTATCCATAGGGGACATGACCTTTTCTTTCGCTCCTTCATCTGAAGACTCGTGACCTTTCGGTTGTTCCGTCAGCGCAGAACTCTTTTGACTTTTAGGTTGTGCTTCCTTCTCAGTCGTTTCAGCCGTCTCTTGACCCTAGGATTGTTCGTCCTTCTCTGCCACCGGTGTAGAAGGCTTAAGTGTAGCGGCTTGATTTGCATCATCTGATTCCGAGCCAGAATCCATTGGTAATTTACGTTGTTTCGCCGGTTTCGGGGCTTGTGCCTTGGCTTTGGCGCGTTCTTTCTTAGGGTCACCAGTTGGAGGAACTTCCGCCTTTTCTGTGTTCTCGCTGTCCGACATATGGAAACGATCCTGTTTTTTCTGGTGGTATCAGGTCCAGTCTCGTATATCTGATCGGCTCTCCCCTATGTGCGTTCGTTGTTCGCAGGATGCCCTTTTTGATCATCTTGGGTAGTAACCGTTCAGTGGCCGTGTCAATTTCTTTGATCATTCCTTTTCCTTCGAGCCAAATGGCGTTAATGTACTGACTGATCCGGTGACTTGTCGATCCCAACGGGCTTGTCATCCATTGATTGCCCTTTCTATGCGCATTATGCCGTCTTCGTTCGGGCTCGTCAACGCTTTATCCGCGCTTGCCGGTCTCAACAACTCTGCCTTGTACTCGAAGTTAGGGTGCTTCTGAATCGGTTTCCCGCATTCCGAGCGTATTCCAACATGGCTTCAAACTTTTGCTTGGTGAAGCTACGGTGTTTTTCCTTTAAGTATTTCTTCAGGCCTGTCCTGAATTTCGTCGTGACCGGTGCCGTTCTAATTCGCACGAAATACTTCTTCTCCACTTCCTCGAACATATCAACGAGTTCGGAGACTGTTAGGTTATCATCGTCAGGGTTGAATTTCCTCGTTCATCTCTTCAGTTTCGATTTCGAGTCTCCGTCGTGACAATATCACTTCGTGAGGATCTTGGATACCATTATCCGCGCACCGTTGCCAATAATGCAGCCATTTTCCTCTTCCAAATATGAAATTTCTAACGCATGATAGCCACGCTAGGTATCTATTAAAGTGATATCGTTTGATGTGTGGGTTACACATGCTCACAGTCCGTAAGATACTTTTCACTTCTTTTGGGACATGAACTTTTAGGTCTGCTATCGCTGCGTTACATTTCGGCCATTCTGAAAGGTCATCCTGGGATGCGGCTCGACTGCATTTAGTGCATTCCTCTTGCGGTTGTATCCTGCGCGGGTCTTCTTAATAACCATGGTGACAACTCCCGGCTCTTTCTTCTGGAGTTAATGTCCTTTGCGGACTGACCTTTTCGTTCTCCCGTTCTGTGGCTCCTTGCTCACAGGAAGTTACAATCACACTTTCGTCCGAGGATATTTAAATTACCTCCGGTCCCGTTTTCTTCTGGTGACCTTTCAACTGTTCAGTTGCTTTGTCGCGGATTTCGCTTGCGAACATCTGTTCCTCTTCATTTACCCGTTTTAATATCTCCCATGGGACTTCTATCTTTTTCTTTGTCCGGATTTTAACACTTTTTACTCCCAGTGCCTCTGGTACTGGGATAGGCTTTGACCACCCCAGGCCTGGCACCAGCGATTGCTTCACTGCAATTGTCGCTTCTTTCTGTATGGCCCCTATCTTTTCGAGCGTTGGTGACCTTTCATTTTCCGTTCCCATTGCCTCTGGTACTGGGATAACTTTTTCAACACTTTCCTTTTCATTTTTCATCTCCGGTGCCTCTGGTACCGGGATAATTTCTTCCTTCATCTCTTTCTGCTGCACGTTTGTCATTCCCGGTGTCTCTGGTACTGGGATGACCTTTTCTCTTCCCCTTTGTGTCAGTAGAGTCCGTTTTAACGTATTTTCAATTTTCTGCTGGATCACCTTCATTTGCTCAAATACTGACGACTCCTTCGATGTCACCTTTTTCTGTTCCGTTCCCAGTGCCTCTGGTACTGGGATTAGCCCTTTATCGTTTTTGGCATTTTTTCAAAGTTTGGTGACCTTTCCGACTTGAATCTTAACGACTGTTTTCGGGTCATCTTCTTTTTCTTCTTCACCTTCGTTATCATGAACTCAGCATGGACTTCTCTAAGAAGTCGAATCCCAATAACACTTGTACATCGTCGCATTTTGGTCGCACATAAAAGGAATGTTCACTGATCCTTTTCCTTAAGGTCACTGGTGCTGTGCAGTAATGTGTTACCACAAATCCTGACGTTCCGCTGATTCCATTAATCTTCACCAGTCTGTCAGGCGGCAATGGAAGCATATGCAGTCCATTCTTCTCGCAAAACGGTTTACTGATCAGCGACGTCTCAGCTCCAGTGTCCAGCATTGCGATGACCTTTATGTCTCCCACTTTCACTTCGTGAGTGTACGCTTCAATTCTTTTAGGCAGTTTTCCATTTTGAATTTTCAAGCTCCGAATAGTACATTTCACTGGAATCGGCGATACTGGTCCCGGATCCATATCGGGAAGTAGTTGCCCTTTCGCTAAGGTGCCATGACCTTTCAATATCTCACTCAGTTTGTCGATCCTATGTGGCACGTTAGTTCGAACGTCGTAGAACTCTCGAGTCCTGTTCATTACTTTTGACTCGCCACTGGTGACCTTTCCAGTGTTGCATTTTTCCTCACTCGGTGAACTGTACTCTTTGTGACCTTTAGTCACTTCAGTAATCGTCAGACACAACGTCATCTTTTTTCGCTTATCCTTCGACTTGTCATCGTGTTATTCGTTTAGCGAGAGTCAATTCCTCTTTTTCATGTCTCTCAGCTCTTCTGGTGAACTTTCATATACGACCATCTTTTTCTCATTATCTTTCATCCAGTTACTGACCTTTTGAGTTATTTCATTATTTATTCGTATCCAGTCAGTTTGCGAAGACATCCCATCACTTCTGGCTGGTGATCTTTTCGCTACATTATTCTATTGCGCTTGCGCCGCATCATATGACCTTCCTTTTGTTCATGTTGCGCTAAGTCAGGTGACCTTTCGTTGCGCACCATGGTAAATCCGCCACTTGGCAACTTTTGTATGGGATCTTTTTCTCATTAATTCAGCGGCTTATCTTCTGGCGGTGCGTTTCGTGGGTCCTTCATGTCAGCCAGTGTCTTTTTATATTCAGCTGCGTTGAACGCTGGGGCTGGGTTCTGTGACCTTTGTGCTGGTTTCCCGGAAACCAACTCTTCTGATCGTTTCCTCTCATGTTGTGTTCGCAAATCTTGCATGTCCCAGTAATCGTCTTGTGACATGCTCGCTTTCTGTTTCGCCTTTGGCGTCACAGGTATCCACATCCCGTGATTCCCATTAGGTCGATAGGCCACTCTTTGCCATATTTCCCTCCGCTGCAGCGTAACTGCATCCACAAGTGAGTCGTCGGAGTTCTGTTGTGCTCGTTCGCTATCTTTTTGCTGCGCTGTTCGCAGTGTCAAGTCCGTTTCTTGACCTTTCAACACGACGCTGTCGCCGTGACCTTTAGCGTTTGCACTTGCTCCTTGACCTTTCACTTGGACTTTTCCCACGGAAGGTGACTTTTCGTCTTTACTGCCTACTATGGCGTTCTGTTCCAACCACCTTTGCTTTAATAGCGTCATCTCCGTCTTCCGAGCAGTTCAAGAACCTTGGTTGAATTTCCGTATTTTCTGTTCCAACTATACCACAGTAGCAGCGTGACTCTAAGTCCGGTTGCTGTACCTTCGCAGTGTCATTCTGCGGTGGGGACCTCTGGGGGTTCAGTTTGTCATTTCCTTCTCTGTCTTTCCGCAACCACGCATGGTGCATTTCTACTTCCTCTGCGGTGTCAGTCTGCGGTTTC